CAATACCTGTACCACATGCATCGGTTTCTATAGTGAAAGGCTGAGTGAAGTCTGGTAGAGCTAGAACTGGGGTTGTAGTCATGGCTGCCTTTAATTCCTTGAAAGCCTGCTCTGCTTCCTCTCCCCATCGAAAGGATCCTTTCTTCAGCAAGGAAGTAAGTGGCCTGCTAATGATCCCATATCCTTTTACAAACTTCCTGTAATAACCAGTCAATCCTAGGAACCCCCTTAATTCCCTCAGAGTTTTAGGTGTGGCCCACTGAGTCATAACTTCAATCTTTTCAGGATCAGTTGTTACCCCTTCTTTAGTAATAATGTGACCCAAATAAGAGATGGTCTCCTGTCCAAACTGACATTTACTCTTTTTAGCATGTAACTTATGTTCCCTTAGTAAGGTCAAAACTGCCTTAACATGTTGAACATGCTCCTCCCAGTTGGTACTATAGACTAATATGTCATCAAAAAAAACCAAAACTGATTTTCTTAAGAATTCCTTAAACACCTGATTCATTAGGGACTGGAAGGTGGCAGGAGCATTACACAATCCAAACGGCATTACAAGGAACTCATAATGTCCATTATGAGTTCTAAAGGCAGTTAGATACCTGTGTTCTGGAGCCATAAGGATCTGGAAGTAGCCTGAGCGTAGATCAACTTTTGAAAATATCCGTGCCCCCTTTAGTTCATCCAACAAATCATCAATTATTGGTATAGGGTAGTTGTGCTTAATAGTGAGGCTATTCAAATACCTATAATCCACACACATTCTCCATGTCCCATCTTTTTTCTTAACCAATAAAACTGGTGATGAAAAGGGGCTTTTACTGGGCTGAATCTCCCCATTCTTAAGTAACTCCGCCACTATCTTCTCAATCTCATTCTTCTGATCATGGGAGGCTCTGTAGGGGTATTGCTGCCTGGGAACACTGCCAGGTTTTAATAGAATCTGATGTTCTACTCCCCTACTCGGGGGTAGAGATTTGGGCTCCTCAAAGATATCTTCAAACTCCTTTAACACGTTCTCCATTTCTATAGAACTCTTAGGATCAGTTTCCTTCCCTTTAATCCAGAAAACCTCCTCCACCTGTCTGGGAAATTCTTCATAAATCATCTTGTAGAGACTATGGCATGAAATGAGTTTGCATTTTTCTTCACATTGGATGGGAATCCTGAGGTTCTCACAAGTGACTGTGACTACCATTTTATTATAATCCAGCTCAATAGGGGTTAAGGCCCTCAACCAATCCCCACCCAGTATTAAATCAAACTCAGTGGTTGGTAAGACCCTGAAGTCATAGCTAAACTGATGTTGTTGCATTCCCCATTTGAATTGTGTTATTTGTGATTTGCTGCTTAATTTGGTGCCATTTGCTACTGTAACCTGGGCAGGTTTCGCAGGTTCTTCCCTACAACCTAGATGTTGGACTGCTTTGGAGCTAATGAAGCTGACTGATGCTCCTGAATCAATCAAGATACGTATTTGGTGTTTTCCCACCTTTCCCCATAACTCCATAGTAGTGGGTCCCAATTTTCCATGAGCAGCACCTAAGGTTACCAACATTATCTCTTCAGCTTCTTCCTTCTTTTCCTCGTGTTGGTCATTAATTTCCTCACTAATATCTTCTTCAGCTACTATTAAGTAGACTTGCCTGTGCTTACATCTATGACCTGGATTAAAGGGTTCATCACAGTTGTAACACAATCCTTTTTCTCTCCTAGCGGCCATCTCCTTCTGAGTGAGCAATTTGAAGGAGGGATTATTTCCAGCTTTAGCATGATTACTGGGTTCCTCTTTAGGTTCCCCTTTCCTGGGAAGCATAGGCTGAGAGAAATGGCTTTTGCTTTGCCCTTTAATCTTCTTAGTTAGAGCTTCTATTGTTAACAATTGATTTCGTACCAATTCAACAGTGGAGTCTAGTGTTTCTGGGTGAAACATTTTTACAAACGCCTTGAGCTCATCATTAAGTCCACTGATGAAACTAGAAATGAAGTATGATTCACTGAATGTAACACTTGAGATTTAATATAAACGGATTGATAGTACTACTCATACCAACAGAGGTGCATCTCCTTTTAAGGGAGCTCATCACCCAAGAACTCCAAAGTTAAGCGTGCTTGCACGGGAGTAGTCTTGGGATGGGTGACCCCCTGGGAAGTTTCTCAGGGCGCGCATGAGTGAGGACAAAGTGCGCGGTAAAGGCTCGTGGTGGTTTGTGGGGACAGTACTATTGGTCCGGAGTAACTACCTCGGGTCCTGCGGGCCCGGGGTGTTACAAGTTGGTATCAGAGCAACCCCGCGACAGTGTGATGACCTGTTGGATATCGGGCGGGCACTTAGCGGGGGGAAATTCTGGGATTTGATTGAGATTTGAGATTGGTTTATGGGCGCAACGAGGACGTTGCGATCCTAAGTGGGGGTGATTGTAACACTTGAGATTTAATATAAACGGATTGATAGTACTACTCATACCAACAGAGGTGCATCTCCTTTTAAGGGAGCTCATCACCCAAGAACTCCAAAGTTAAGCGTGCTTGCACGGGAGTAGTCTTGGGATGGGTGACCCCCTGGGAAGTTTCTCAGGGCGCGCATGAGTGAGGACAAAGTGCGCGGTAAAGGCTCGTGGTGGTTTGTGGGGACAGTACTATTGGTCCGGAGTAACTACCTCGGGTCCAGTGGGGCCGGGGTGTTACACTGAATGATCCATCATGCATCATCAACATACATGATTTTAACTCCTCAAATTTCTCAACATATGTTTCAAAATCAGCTCCCATTTTGATCTTATTGAACTCTTCAATAACTATTGATTCTTTTAACCCTTCAAATCTGGCAGAGATTACCCCTATAAACTGTTCCCAGGTTAGCAGAGTGAGGTCTTTTTCCAAATGCTGGAACCATGTCAAGGCCTTACCCTCAAAGTGTATAGTAGCTAATATCACCCTTTGTTCTGGAGGAATATGTGACATTATCCTGAAGTACCCTTGGCATTTCAGAGCCCAGGCTCGAGGTTGTGCCCCATCGAACTTCGGAAAATCTATCCTGGGAAGGGGAATATGCGAGTGATGATGAGTAGAATAATCATGTGGCTTACCAATTTGTGATGCAGGTTCTTTGTGCATAGGATCTCGTGTAATTGGAGGTGGGCCGAGTATAGAATCTTTTTGAGGGTAAACTGTAGCTCCAGAGGGATGCAATTGCTCTCGGTTAGTAAGATCCTCCATGCTGTCAAGTCTCTTTTGTATTTGGCTCAGTTGTTTGAGAATTTCCATCTGCACCTCTTGTTGTTTTTGTTGTATCTCACTGTGCATCTGATCTGCAGCCTCCCTCTTTAGTATTTCTGCCATGAATGTTTGCTCGAGTTTCTTCTGTCCTTCCAAACATTCTTTCAGGCGTGTACCATCTGCCATCTCCATGGATCGCGCTGGAGGCTCTGATACCAAATGTACTATAGTGTTTTTTATTTTTTTTTGTATTGGTTGCAGAAGGAAGGAAGTTACGAGAGGAAGGGGAAGGAGTGAATAACAGAATAGAAAGAGAGAGAATTTGGCAGAATATTTCTTATCATTTTCCCTGTGTAATAACCGTATTTGTAACTTTTGAGGAGTGGGGTCCTCCTCTAAACAACCCCATCATTGAAATATTAAATTTAGAACTATTTTAGTCTATATCATATTATGTGGCCTCCTCTCCTTAATTAGCCCAAAACAGTAACCCCATTAACTTTGGAAACCCTTTCCAGGTGTTTTAGTCTTCAACACATTATTGCAACTAGCCAATACACGACAGAATTTTAGTGGGATGTAGGCTTTCCAAATGAAGCGAATCCAAATGTGTTTGGTACCCTCAATTCTAAGTAAATCATAGACTTTGGAAAATCATAAACTACCTTGGGTGACCAATAGAGAAAGGCCATCTATGGCATCTTCAATTGAATCAAATTTGGCAACTAGTTGATCTCGAATTAATCCAATTTTCTTTATGAGTTGTGAATCCTTATGGTGTGAGGAAAAATCCGACACATTCCTACCTTTAAGTTAAATCCCATGCACCCATTTAATCTAAAGTGTATCCCTCTTTAAATGTATGTCCCAAAGAGACTTAGATAACAAAGCATTATTCAAAGTTTTAGAATGCCAAATACCCAAGCCACCTCCCTCTTTTGGGAGGCACATATCTGCCCAAGCCACCCTTGCAAAATTGCACCCCAAAAGAAGATACGGCATAGGACAGTCCCCTATCAAGAATGACTTGAGGTATAAGAAACGCCGGTAGCCAAAAAGAGTGAATCCCTAGTTTGGAAAACATCTCTTAAGGCTAAATGGTCAAATAGGTCATCCAACTAACTTAAAAAGTGCAAATCACCCCTTATATAAGAGGCTCTGTCCGGCCGTCATCATTTGGGGCGGTTCCCGGTGGATTTTTTTGATGATTTTTTTAGAATCTTCTTCATTATGTCTAGTTTACTCATACCAAATTTCAGCTAAAAACTTAATTGGGAAGACAGTCAAATGATATTTTGAAGATAACTGCGCAGTTAAACAACGTAGTACATTTCAAAAAAACATTTGACTGTCTTCCCGATTGAATTTTTATCTGAAATTTAGTATTGGTAAACTAGACTTTATGAAGAAGATGCGAAAAAAATTTCACCGGAAATAACCGCAAATGGCAATGACCAGACAAATCTTCCTATATAATTTGCACTTTTTAAATTCGTTTGAGGTCTATTTGACCTTTGGCCTATCTCTTAAAGATGCCCTTATTCTCCCAATCTCCCGTGCTTGTAATACTGGTATTTTACTATTTTACACATAACCTGTAATATAATTTACCAAAATAAATTCCTTCCATAACCAATACCGAGAAGCCTCCTCTCCGCCCTTCGCACTCGTATGGCGGCTACTCTCTGTCAGATTCCAACTTTCCATACTATATTCCCCCGCTCATCTCTTCCCTGTCGCCACACCACCCAGCACCTCCGTTATCACAACCCTTTAACAGTACAAACCTCAGTTTCTGCTTCTATGAAGCAAACCAGGTTCGTTTTCTCGGTGGACTTTATTCCTGTTTCCGCAGGTAGAAAGTATTTTACATTTTTTTGTAAAATGTAACGTGCGATTACTCCGAGTACTTTTTGTGGCCACAAGCATCCAGATAACGTGGATAGATAAATATTTTCCAATACTGCTTGTTGTAAAATATATTTCTCTATCTTGTTTGGGTGATACAGAGGAAGTAAGCACGCAAGGAGGAGGAATTCTGATCTCTGCAATGATATCAGGGAGTTCTTATCTGTGAATGGACTTCCTCATGATCACATACCCACCACGAATGAGCTAACAGACCTCGGAAGGTTTCATTTCTCAATTAAATTCTGAATCTTAAGACTTTTTTTCTTTTCAAAACAAGCTGCGGCTAATAAGTTAATTATGATCCGACAGCTTATAGCTCAAAATCTAGCTAATTTCTATATTAGGGTAATAGGGTTTGGCTAAAGTAGGCGATAAGCTAGCTCTGAAATAAAAAACTACACAGAAGGGTGTATTTAAAATAATTTTGTATAGTCATAGAGAAAGAGGGTAAAAGTGCAATATTATAAAATATTGCGCTTCAAAAGAAGCTGTTCCTAGAGCTATTCCTGAAACTAGTAAAAGAAGCTGACAATATTATAAAATAAGCTCGGGTTTAATAATTAGGATGTTTTTACTTGGACTGTAATAAGTCCGAGATCAAACCAGACCAGACTTGGATAGTTATAAAAATACAAAGAAACCAGACATTACCAAACATCCTTACCAAGTAAAAACATCCTTAAGCTCCTTCAACCAAACATAAATTATTTAAGAACAGCCCACTAAAAAAATAGAAACATGAAGCTTACAAGGTCATTCCAAAGAAGGCCTTAAATTTTATTCCTAGCCAGTTGTCCTAACTCCCAATTGAGTTACAAGACACTGTCTTTAGTTTTAATAGGACAAATACGATTTATGAGTGCACTGAGGAGCCTATTAAAGGAATGATGCTTGTTGTGTAACTTTGATTCACCAACATGACATGCGGTGAATCCAATCAATTATTTTTGTAGGAAAGATCTTGCAAATATTGTTAGAAGGAGAGGATACAAATTCATAAGAGAGCTACTTGGATGCTCAAACAAGTCGGTTGATTGTTAGTGTCTTCATCCTTGAGACCTTGACCCGTGTTTGGGAAATTATCACATCTTGATAGTTCTCACAAATGATAATTTTCTTGTTTTAAAAGGTCAGGATTGGAAAATTAATAGCTTAGTTGAGGACGTGGATGGTGGCCTTAACAGTGTGATCAATGGTGGGGAGTTCAGCTCTCATAACTTTGCTGAAAAGTCATCCATTAATCTATCCTTGCAGGAAAAGGCATCCAGATTTCTTCAGAATGGGAAACTTGATGGTATTGAGAGTAAGTTATGCTCTTAAAAAATTCTTATATGCATTACAAAGTTATGTTTTTACAAACATGGATAATCATCCAACTCTTAAGTGTAAGATTGGAAAATCCAGAATTCCAATTAGTAGAGATGTCAAGGGCAAGGTGGATGAAGGTTATGGCTATAAATGTACATGTCTTATAAGCCTGTTGGGGAACATCCTAGACCTATAGTCCGGCTAATTTTATCCAAATCATAACCTACCCATAGGTAATGGATAAAAATGTGGGTAACCATCTGCTCATTAGCAATGATTCTTTTAACGGATAAAAGTTAATATATATGTATACATATATATTATCTATATGCGTGCATGCATGCATGCATGCATACATACATACATACATATATTCATTTTTATGATTAAAGTTATTTTAATTTCTAAATAATATTATAAAATGGAGCTGTATATCTATTTGTTTGTTTTCGACATTTCGTATGTATGTGCATTAGTGCATATGTTGTAGTTTCAAATCTCTCTCTACACACATATACACAGGTACAAACACCCACAATAATTTTTAATTTAAATAATAAATAAAAGGATTTTGTGTTTAATGGTGCGGGTAATCGTATTGAAAATAAACAGGTAGTTATGGGTCAGGTAATAGGTAGGTATTTATGGAACCGTAACCGCCACATAGTTGGTGAAAATTTATTGATTAATCCCCATCTCATGCCCATTACCCGGTCAATCTGGTTACCCCGTCTTGACTTGAATGGTTCTGTGTGGGTATCCAACAGATTGTATATAAGATTCTATATAATTACTTTTATCTATATTCTGACTCTTATATGGCAAGTGATATGTGAATTTTTTTCAGTCTGGGATACTTTAACATTTCTGATGCCTCACAGATAGTGACTTTGAATTTTTGAACAAAAGCACTTACAATGAGGAGAAACAAAGTGGGTTAAGTGGTTTTAGTGGCATCGGGATATCAAATGGAAATGTTTTGTCATCATTGCAGCAGGTTGACCATGCAATTGATGTTATTACTGTCCAGATGTATGTACTTCCATTTTCTTTCTTAATTTCAAATTTCAAATCTGAACCTATTCTTGTCAAGTAACCTGAAACCAGATAAATGGCAAAATATAAACCAACATACAAGGTACTAGGGTAGTCCTTCTCTTAACCTTTTAGGGTAGAACCAGTGGCGGACCCAGAAGTTTTCCGAAGCGGGGGCACTCCCTTATAAATGAAAATGGGTCGGGTCGGGTCGAATTGGGTGATCTTTTTTGTCAAGTGCGTTCAAATTAATATTTTTAACTGGAAATAGATTATTCAATGTTGACGTCAAGCAATGAACATATATGGGTTATAAGTCTAATTGTGAACTCATTAAGACAATTCTAAACAATAATATTTGACTTTTTGAAAGAAAGACATAATTTGGCGGATTAGAAATGACTCATCTTTGCGCCATTTCTGATTTTACATTAGAATTTTCACTATTTTTCATACTATAAAATGATCAAGATTTCATATTTGAACTAGGATCATGTCGTTGTTATACATTGTGCCACAAAATTTGTTGGTACTTGTCGGAAATATAATTTTATCGTGTTAAAAATGAAGTATAAGTCAAGTTTCGGATTTCATCATTTAATACAACTTTATTTAATAATATGATTCTATATATCTACCTTTTACGAGGAGTATCATATTATAGAAAAACTTTAAAGGGTCCGTCGGTTTGAAACTAATTTATCGCGAATTGATACTTTTTTTCATGTATGGACTTTTATTCAAGATAAAAGTCTTTCAATCTATTAAGTTTATCCCGCATATTAGAACCCTTGTCATATCTTTGAACTTTCACTTTGGACCGACATTATTCACCCCAAGTGAAAAATCATCAATGCCACTTTTCAAAGGAAGTGTAGTAACCATATAACAACTATCTAACTATAAGAATTTGCTCCATCACAACTTCAGAGTTGTTTATATTTCTTACTACAATTATTATATGTCTTCGTCGGAGTCCTATACATCTAATAGTTTTTTGAAATAATGACAATATGATTGAAATAAAGATAGTAGACAAAAATATGACTTAGATATTACCATAACAATTTTAGTGACCATGGTTCTGTTCATTAGTTATATTCTGGTAATATTTATGAAAAATACTCTAATTTTTTGTTCGGATAGCAGGGGCACAATTTTTATCTTAAGTACTAATACTAAACTTCATGGTCAGAAGCGGGGCACTTGCCCCCCAAGGCCCCTCCCTAGGTCCTCCACTGGGTAGAACCTATGATATAATAATTTATACACATTCTTTTTTAGCCTTCATTACTTTGTTACACGTACACTCACTTTTTCCCAGAGTTCCTCCCCACAAGCACGGAAGGTTGCTGATTTACTTTGGTATATTTATTTGTTTATTTAGGGATGCATCTCCTCATGTTGAGAACAAGGGTGTGCATGTTAAGGTGATCACAACAATTTTGTAGTGAAATCATTTGAAATATATTTGGTTGTTTATTTTGATGTACTCATTCTGGCCTTGATGTTTTATGTGTTAGACACAAGTTGTGGACAATCAAGCTGAGATTAGCCGTCTTAAGTTCATGCTGGTTAGTACCATCCTTTGTTGTAATGTAGCATGTTATTGATCTGGCTCACCCCCTGCTTCTTCAAAATTTTGTTATACTACGTAGTTTCTGATTTTTCAGTGACTTCACTATTATTAGAGTCAGAAAGACCTGGAATTGATGCTCCTGAAGCAGAAAATTGAAGTGGAAAAGGTAAGCGTAGAAATTCACTTTTTTGAATTTTCACTTCCACATACCATTTCAGAGTACTATATGAATTTTGCAAATTTTAACTTTTTTTCCCCTTCCAGCATGCTTTGTCTGCTTTGCAAGTTAAAGCTCAAACAGAAATGAGCAAGGCACATACACTCATTTCAGAAAAAAATGCAGAACTAAGCTCTGCCGAAGAAAGCCTCTCAGGGCTAAAAGAGGTATTTACTCCAAATCTTGGCGTTTTGATCTCCTAAAATGATTTGCATGTTGTGAGGGCCTACACACAGCATAAGTGGGTAACTAATAAAAAAGAAAATCAGGAAGTGGGACTAAAATGTTTTTGGTAGGTTGAAATCCTATACCGAGGTAAGGGAGAAAGTGTGGAGGTAGCTGGAAGTTTCAACGGTTGGAGTCACAGGATAAAGATGGACCCACAAACTCAGGCATCAAGTATCATAGTTGCAAGCAGTTTAAGGTTTCAATTTTCTTCATTTTAATATATTAACCGTATGCCTTATCTCTGCAATAGGATGGATGCTAGGTATGTTGATAAAATTGCTTGCTTTTGTCATCCCTTTCTATGCAGGATATCTCACTTCTGGAGAACTATCTTGTGGCTTTATCCTGGGATATATGAGGTCTGAAATTTCAAAAACTACTTCATGATAAAAGCAAATGTGCCATGTGTGTGTATTAAGAAAAGTTTTTATTGAACATAATCGTAGTAGATGATACGGTAATCGCAAGTAAGCAAATGAAAAGAGGGCTGAAGGGCTCACAATTAAAAAGGTAAAAAAATAACAAAAAAAACTGCCAACCAGAAGCAGCAGGCAAAGAGAAACACAGATCCAATGCGTGCATAATTGCTATAACAGCAGCCTTTGGGAGTGTTTGCAACTGCTCAAAGAAGCACTTCTCGGCTTTTGGCTTAAAAAAGCTAAAAAGAGTGTTTTTAAGTGACAAGTTGACAACTTCTACTTAAAAAAGCGCTTATCGGCTTTTGGCTGAAAAGTGCTTTTTACTTTTCTATTACACAAAAAGCTCTTGTTTTACCAAACACTACCAACTTTTACTTTTCAAAATCACTTTTTCCTCAAACACTATCAACTTTTACTAATCACTTTTCCAAAATCACTTAAAAAAGTGCTTTTTTTAAGCAAAAGTATTTGCAAACACTCCCTTTGTATGATTCATTCTCAAAATGGGTTAGCCAAAAGCACTACCCCAAACAAAAAGCTCCCTGCCCAACCAAAATAGTTTTTTTTTGGAATATCAAAATTGTCCAATAAAAAATGATAAAGAAAGGCTTGCTCCTTATACACCCTTGTGGTGGGAACCCTTCCCCGGACCCTCACCTTGCGGCAGGGGCGGAAACACACTATGGATAGGGTGGGCAGCTGCCCCCAATAAACTCTCAATAATTCCATATACTCCGTAATATTTTAGGAAAAAGTTTAGCCCACATAACTGCCCCCAATAAAAAAACTAAGGGCCTGTTTACTAACAGAGATATTTTCCTGTTTTCTACTTATGTTTTTCGTTCTCCAATTTTCTGTTTTTATTTTTCAGTTTTTCTATCTCCAATTTTCTGTTTCTATTTTTTAGTTTTCCATTTTCAAATTTGAAAACATGTTCATCAATTTTTTCACACAGTTCTCCAATTCCACACCCTTGACCCCTACCTCTACCCTTACCACGATCTTACACTCTACCCATACTCCACCACCACCCTTCATACCCACACATACCTACTCGTAGGGGTCGGGGTAGGGAAGTTATGGGTGGGGTAGTGGGTAGGGTTTGAGGTAAGGTAGAGGTAGGGTATGGAGTTGGGATAAGATGGCGGTAGGGTGGGGCCGGGACCAGGGTGGGGCTGAGGTAGGGAAGGAGTAGGGGTGGGGGTAGGATGGTGGTAAGGGTGGGAGTAGTGGGTAGGGTTGGGTTGGGGTAAGGTAAGGGTAGTGGGATAGGATGGCGATAGGGCCCGAGATCTGGGTGGGGCCGAGGTAGGGGAAGGGTAGGGTGGGGGGTAGGATGGTTGTAGGATGGCGGAAGGGTGGGGGTAGGATGGAGGTACGAGGGTGGGGGGTAGGATGGCGATGGGGTGGGGCCGAGGTAGGGGCATGTGGTAAGGGGTGAGGGGTAATATACGGGTGGGGGGTAGGGTAGGGTGGGTCAGGGTGGGGCCGAGGTAGAGGAAGGGTAGGGTGGGGGGTAGGATGGTTGTAGGATGGCGGAAGGGTGGGGGTAGGATGGCGGTACGAGGGTGGGGGTAGGATGGCGGTGGGGTGGGCCGAGGTAGGGGCATGTGGTAAGGGGTAATATACGGGTGGTGGTAGGGTAGGGTGGGTCGGGGTGGGGTCGGGGTGGTAGGGGGGTGGCGGTAGGGTAGGATGGATCGGGGTGGGGTAGGGTCATTATAGGGAAAAATGGGTATGCTGGGTGGTGTTGGGTGGGTAGGGTTGGGTGGGTAGGGTAGGGTAGGGGTAAGGGGTAAGGTATGAGGATGGAGGTACCGAAAAGGAATCGACATCGGAGCGGGACCGGACCCACCACTAGGTGTAAGTATGCAAATTCATTGCAGCGGCACTGTAGCATCTGCGTTTTCCAAATTTGGAAAACTAGTAAAAGTCACTTCTCCAAATTATTAAGGAAAAGAGAGACATGTCTCATTTTTTCCGTTTTGGAAAACGATTTGGTAAACGCGTTTTTCTTTTTTCCTTTCTCCAGTTTTCCAGGAATTTCTTTGGTAAACACGTTTCCTGTTTTCTGTTTTCCAGTTTTCCAGTTTTCTGGAAAACTGGAAAATATTTCTGTTAGTAAACAGGCCCTAAATGTCCCCATATATCTAACCCACCCAACTCCAGTATTCCAGTCAGCCCAAATAAAATAAAATAACTCAATGCCCCCTAAAAAATTACTCCATATACTTCAGCTTATGTAAACAGCCATAACAGGGAATCCTAAACCCCTAAAATTTTAACGAAGAGCACACAAGCTCAAGTTCGGCTCCTCGGCATTGCAATAGTGCAGGTTTCTCACATTCTCTTTTAAGCCCATTAAGTATCAACTACGTAGTAGTTGAGTAATTAATTTGAGTATTTGACTATTGATTATTGATTTATTGTATAATTTTTACTACATATGTGTTAGAGTGTTATAGAAATTGCTCAATATAGGACCAAAACATAAACAAAGTGAAAAAATGAGATTAAGAGTGTTTTATTACCAAATAACACCTATTTAGTCTTATTAAAAGAATAAGTTGATTAAAGCTTCCTAAAATAGAAGTGAATAAAACAATGACAATCCTATTTGTGAACTTTATCATTGTTTTATTCATATTTAGGGAATTTCTCGTGTTATTGTGTTTTTGTGCTAAACTATTAAAATTAGTAGGACGGATGTTTGAAAGTTCATCAATACTCACTTGATAAAGAGACAAAAGAGTGCATTAGTTATCAAAAAAATTATTACGCTTTTTTATCAGATTTTATGGACAGAGTATTGAAAAAAACACCAACTTCAACACCAGAATATAGATCTATTTAAAACCGTCACAAATAAAACTATAATGGATCTCTTTCAAAAGATGTGTGCAATTGTGATTAACTTTCAAATAAAACTATAATAAATCTCTTTCATAATATCGGATATATTTTATCAACTACGTAGTACTTTTTTCTTCATGTACTTTTCTCTTTGCTCTGCCCCCAATACTTCCGTTTCCTGGATCCGCCACTGCTTTGTGGGGACGTCAATGTGCACCGGGTGCCCTTTTTTTATTGTCAAATTTGCCCAAACTCAGGTAAAGTGAAGCCATATGAAGAAGTCCAGTTTGCTGGCTAGGCTGATTAATACGTCATAGCAATTATTTTCTTTTGTTTAGCTATGTTGGAAACCACCAGACTACCAGAGTAACCCCCCCTCTCCAGGAGGATTCTCAAAGGGTTCTCTCTTCAATGTATTCTTCCTCCCCCTTTTCTGAGTGGGTGTTTTGTCCCAATGTAGTGAGAGAGAGTCTGAATCAACACTCCAAGGATAATTAATCCTTGGGGAAAGAGCATTGGTCACCTTTCAGAATCCAGGATAACCAGACGTTTACCACTAGTAATTTAAAGGGCTACTAAACTATCACCATTTCCGATTAGAGATACTTATAGCAAACTAATGTTTGCTAATAAATTCTGGGTTCTTTGTTCTATGTTATTTTACTTGTTAAGGTGGTTGGTTTATCAGGGAACTAATCATTGACAGATAAAGTTTGTTGTGGATGGGCATTGGAGAACTGATCCTGAGAGGGAATTGGTTACTAGGGGTACCATAGCAAACAATGTACTACGGGTTGAGAGATGATGTGATTCATACATTAGAGGTGGTTAAGGCTTTTTTAGAGGGCACTCAAGCCAAGATGTTTCAAGACAATGCATTTAGAATCAACTTTTGAGATGCATGAGACTTTGGGTTAGCTCATAAATAAACGAAGATAAAGATGATATCCATCTTCATTGATGAACTCAATCCAATGTAGGGATATGGTGGTTTTTGTATATGTATTTCCGTTTTGATCAAAGTATTATGTTCTTGCATATTAGATAAGCCATACATTTTTTGCTATTCTGATAAGACTTCTGGTCAATGTTTTGTGTATGCAATGGTAAAAGAGACGGATTACCATTATGTACTAGGGTGACTTAGACATTGATCAATTTGATTGCACAAGTCACCTTACTCCCTTGCATAGGGGTGTAGAAGTCAAAGAATGTAATTATTTAGTGTTAGAAGTGGCCGAGAGCCTGAGACCATATGACACTTGACATCATAATACTCCCAAAAAGCATAACCTTAAATGGCACAATAATAATTACTTGGAGTCAAAGCAACCAAAATGCCGGACATTTCATCACAAGTAATTTTAGAATAATTAACAAATAAAGTTTTTCTCACTTTTGGTCCTTAACTATTGTGTCATCGGTGCTTTTGGCATCTGTGTTTCAAAATTTCTCTTATTGTGTGAGAGACATTTTTAATCTCAACTTCAACATTTCCTACATTTAGTCGGGAGTGTTATTAATCAACACTTTTAGAGCTTTAGTCCTACTTTAATTTTGGCATAATAAATGCAGATAATAAGTGAAGGACTAAAGGTGTCATTATAATAATAACTAAAAAACCAAAAATGTTATTCTTATGAAAGTCAATGGATTAGAAGTAGAAAAATTCAAAGTTGAGTATTGAAGTGTCATTAACATAATAGTCGAGACAACTTTATACCGATAGCAATTCAATAAGACAATAAAATTATACTTCAATAACAATTAAACAAGATGGCTAATTTATTGAAAAACTAAGAGAAAAGGGTCAAATAAACCCATGTATGGGTGGAACGGGCCTGGTCTGGTTCTAGTTCAGGCATGGGCCCGACCGAGCTTGGATTTCTTTGGGTAAGGCCCGGGACTGGCCCGGGAGTCTATCGATACCGGTCCGGGCCGGTCCTGTATTGTTTTTTGGATTTTCTATTTATTCCAACCCCCCCCCCCCCCTCCACCCCCTAACCCCAAACCCCTCGAAAACACCCAGCCCACCTAAACCCAGCCCACCTAAGCCCACAAAAAAAAGCCCGGTGCGGGCTCGGTGCGGCCGGGCGGTTCGCCTTTTTCACGATGGCTCGATGGTAAAGCCATCGTGTCAGGCCTTAGCCCGGTACCGGTCACCCGGGCCGGGCCGGTTCCCGGGCCGGTCGGACTGGACCGACTCCATCCCTAAACCTACGTACTATCTCGAAACAAGACCAGGCTTGTGCTTAGAAAATCCAAAAAACAATAACTATATCTCGAAACAAGAACTATATCTTATACTTAGCCAAGATATAGTTCTTGTTTAGTCTCTAAGACCATCAACCAGATGGTGACTTGATTTAGAAGGTTTGTGCTTATGTGACTTTTTCTTCTTATCCTTTTCTTTCTTTTTAATTATTTCGCCTTTCCTTTTCCCCTCTTCCCAATTTCCTTATCTCCTTCATACGTATGTATCTAACGTCTTATATTTGTATAGTCATATATGCATATTGGTAGAGTATATGAGCCCATACCCCATGGCCCACATACTCAGAAGACTAAATACAAGCACAACTGGTACCCACGTGGCGCTCCATCGGTCAAACATCTATCAACTCAGAGGATGATCCAGAAGCCCAGAAGCAAAACTTGGTCCTCTGTCGGCCAGGCTCTCCGTCGGCCAAAGAGACTAAACAAGAACTATATCTTATACTTAGCCAAATTAATCAAGTACTAGGCCCAATAGAGACCTTATTTTGTACTGGGCCTCTCAAGCCCAAGACATGAGAGCTCAAACCCATATTTTCCCTATGAATACTCCCCTTGGGAGTTGTTGTAGGGGGTTGAGAAATATTAATTGCTCATTTTCTCTCTCTAACTCTCACTTCTCTATAAGATTAATACTCTATCATATATATAAAGAGGGGATATTCAGGTCCGGCCAAGCCGGACCTGTTCGGCCACCTCAATTTGAGGTGGTTCCCGGTGGTATTTTTTGTCCAAATATTTTGTGTATGTTCCTCATCAAGTCTAGTTCATGCATACCAAATTTGAGCAAAAAATTAAATCGGTAAGGTCGTCAAATGATTTTTGCAAGTTCACTGCGTTTATATGTATATTCCGGGGCAATTAACTTGCAAAAATCATTTGACGATCTTCCCGATTGAATTTTTTGCTCACATTTGGTATAGATGAACTAGACTTGATGAGGAACATACACAAAAAATTTGAGCCAAAAATACCACCAGAAACCACTTCAAATTGAGGTTGCCGGACCAGGGTCCTGTCCGGCCTGGCCGGACAGGAAGAGCTCTCTCTCTCTCTCTCTCTATATATATATATATATACACACACACACACACACACACACACACACACACACACACACACACACACACACACACACACACACACACACACACACACACACACAAATGTTCAGGTTAGGAGCTCCTGACCAGAACCGCCGTCCGGACCAAGGCGTTTGGCCGCCTTCCCGGTGGCTTTTTTTGATGAAATTTTTATGACATGTTCTCCATCAAGTCTAGTTTATCCACAAAAAAATTCAGCCAAAAACTCAACCGGGAAGGTCGTCAAATGATTTTTGCAAGTTAACTGGTCCAGAAAATACATATTCCGAAATAAGAGTAAGATGACAGTATTTACTGCCATCTGTTAGTCATGACTGCCAAATAGTATGCATTCAACATGACATTATTTATTATAATTAATGTCAATATTTTTCAAACATGATAATTTTTTTCAATCATGACGGTAACAACTCATATTTCCAGAAGAAAAACATAGTAGTTCTATTTTGAAATTCTCAAAATTGTTTACTCCTGTTTAGGTCAATTTCCCTTATAATTTACATTTAGGGTTTAGAGTTTATCACTTAACAATTAGAATATTTTTTCTCGGACTTATTTCAGTCTCAAACCAAACCAGACTTCAATAGTTGTAAAATAGATAGAGACCAAACATCTACCAAACCAGACCAGTTCAGACCAAGCTATATCAGACCAGAAAATTTCAATCCAAGTAAAAACACACTTAATTTATATTTAACCATCTGTCCATTTTGTAAGATACATTTTCCTTTTTAAAGTGTTCCAAAAATATGAACACTTTCTTAAATTGAATTCTACTAACGTTTTACTTTTTCACTTTATCTCTTTATCTATCATTTCATATTTTACTTTTGTGGATTCATTTTTCTATTTCTTACATTTTTTTTCATTTTATCTCTTTATCTATCGTTTCATATTTTACTTTTTGTGAATTCATTTTTCTCTTTCTTACGTTTGGAGGTTAGAATTGTAAACCAACTACTTTATCCTTTATTTTCTTAAAACCCACACTAAATTCATATGTAGCTTACCTTATAGGACGGATGCAGTACATGTGATTAAATCGTGCTGCTGTTTGGAGTCTTATTAATGAAAAAAGTTGTTTGAGAATATCTCTGAAAATGATAAAGTGGAACGGAATCCCAAAACTGTACAAAAAAGCATTTCCCCACAAGAGTGAAGACTAAACTGGAGTTCTTAGAGTACAAAACACAAGAGGATTGAAAACAATCCTTACAGGTCAGAAAAGAAAAGAAAATCACAAGAGAAGTGCTTGAAACCGGATTTATAATCTACAAGTAGTAGGCAGTAGCTAGGCTTTCCTCAGTATCAGAAACAACTTCTCTCAAGAAAAGTGTATATGACAAAATGCACTCAGATAACTTTCACAAGCCACGTTCTTAAATTGATACCGAGTACATGTTATCACAGTTATGATAAATATAAATACATGCATACATACTGAGAGCAGTTGAGTACAACGATAATGATGATGATGTTCCAACGATAAACTTACATCTCTCACCCCTCTTCCCCTGCAGCAGCTGCTAATCTCTGCCATTTGTATTGTCTCTGTTCTGCCATTTCCGTGGCCTGGCCCACTCTCTCTGCGTACCGTGTTTGGCACTCCTCAAACAAATCAGCATCCATCTCCATGAACATCTTCCTTACATTCACAGTCAGTCCATTGACCGCTTGATTCCAATGAAACTGTATGTTCTTTTCAAGAGCCTCGAAAATAATGGGTAAAATGGCATTTCTGCTCTGGGCAATCAAGCTTACAATGTGTTCGTTGTTCCATAAAAACAGAGCACGTTCTGCAACCTGTAACAGCATGTATTTGTATATGTATATTTGCTGCTGAACGAATCTTTAAAGAATATTATAACTTAAGTACTTAAGCCTTTGGGTATATTTGGATCCATATTCCATACCATGCTAGTGAAAGAAAAGCAAATGGCAAGGAAAGCTGTTTCTTATGTTTGGCTTTACCTTGGAAAATGCAAAGGAAAATGAACTAATGAAGTATGACATTTTAATACATATAATTATATTTTCTTGGTTTTTATAGTCATATAAATAAATAAAAAAAGAATAAGTTTAAACAAGTATCTAGAATAAATTTAATGAGATACTACGTAGAACGGATCTTTTATGCCGAATTTTGCTTTCCTCCCTATTTTCTTTCTATAATATTATCCATATTTCAAATGGACCCTAAAGGAGGAAGAACTGCAGGAGGGATCATCTGTGAAACCAGGTAGTGTGAAAGGCAGGTCCAGGGATGTGAACTTTGAGGCCTTGAGGGTTTGGAGATCACTCCAAGCAGACAATATTGCATGTGACAAATGTTGACAAACTCGATTGAAAAGCAATACCAGCTTTCTTAAAGTCTCCCATTATCCAATAGTGGTTGAGAATACTCAGATCCTGCCCTCTTGCATCAACTCCCGTATGCAATTCGGAAAATCAAAGTTGATTGATAGCAGAAAGGATCTACGTAGTAACATCCAAGGAGGGGCAAGAGACTTAAGGAAGAACCCTAAAAACCTCTCCACATAAACTACAACAACAACAACCAACATTACCCCAGTGCCTTAAATGGGGGGGGGGGGGTCGGATGTACATAGCCTTACCCCTCTCCACATAAGCTCCTAAATTATATTAACCTCTATGATAAACATAGAGCAGCCTCACACACAACATCATACTTAAACTTTAGGGCCTCATTGCCTAAACTTCCGCCTTCTAAATATGACAACAAATCCTACTCCACCCGTCTCCGAACCATAAAGAGTCATGTTTCATCAAGGTATAACTTTTTAATTTTAACAAGAAACAAATTTTGTAAATTATCAATATTACCAATATTCTATTTTTTTTTAAAATTTTGTTCTTATACTCGGGTAGTACATTTAACCTGTTGTTTTATTTACATTACATTAAATTGAACGAGAATTAGCTTCTTTTGTAGAAATAAGGCTCTTTTCTTTGGGGAAACAGATTTATTGATGATACTGCAGTTAACCTCAATGTTCATTTAAGACACTATCAAATGGTAGCATGGAATCAACCAGCCAAAAAAGCAAGCAGCTTGGCACACCGCATAAAGTACATGCAACTTTAAAATGTTTAAGTTTTTAGATCTTGCTATTCGACCCAACAATAAAAATTAAATGGATAACAATACAGCACAAGCACACAAACACATAGAATCGGCTCTAAAAGGAGAATCTAAATAAAAAGTATAACATTAGTTGGAAGTGATGAAAAATGTCTAACAACCTGAAAGTGGGGGCTGTTCAGGCAACGAGCTATCTGTCTAAATAGAGGAGCAATGCAACGCTGAAACTCAGATGGCTGTGTGGCTTCCAAAACTTCTTCAAGCTCCCCAAGGAAGAGAACTTCTTTTTGGCAATTAGTAACAGGCCAGTATTTCAGAAGACCTCTAATAACCGTATCAGCCAACTTGTAGTCCTTCTCCACAAACTGAAAAATGCAGTAAGACAGCTGCTGATGATACAATGTTATTGATTTTGGCTTGTGGAGTGGGATGAGTACACGGACGAGAAACAACTTATGTTCCTCTTTCATTGGCAATGCAAACCCATTTATTATACTTCCCAGAATCTCCAAAAGCTCACCTATCCCGCTGTGTCTCTCTGTTTCATATATAAATCCATAAAAGACGTTGCCAATGGCCTTCCTTATAAATGGCCGGTGCACCATGAACTTTCCGTATATTCGGTGAAGAATTGTTTTCAAATACTCTCTTTCCCTTGGGTCCTCAGAACCAAACAAATCCAATAACTTCAACACAAATGAGTGATCAATAAACCGTTTAGCTATCTTCGTATCTGTGTCGGATGAGACAATGTAGCGCAGAAGAAGTTCATAGACGAGCTGCAAATGCGGCCATGAGGGCTCTAGAAAGGGCTCCTCCTCTTCAGGGTCAGTATTGTCCGATCCTGTATTCTCGTGTGAGTTTGGAGGCAAGCACCGGAATATGTTGATGGATATCATCCTTATCATTTCTTCCTGATTGCTCTCAGTGATTTTTCCAGATCCAGATTGAATGAAATCTACAAGCTCCACAAGGGACTGCCTCTTGATCTCCTTCTCTCTTACCATCTTCATTGCATCTGTGAAATCAAACTGGAAGCAGCAGATCTGAAGCTTCTTCAGAAACATGTTCTGGCGCTCCGACACTGGCACATCTCGGAATACAGGAAGGTTGTCAATAGTTCCTGGGACCAGAACTGGCGGCATCATGGTGAACAGGTGCGACTGTGTTGAATCTACCTGCAAGCCGCCTCTGGAAGCATGGTTCACCACCACATTGGACGCGGTAACCTGCTGAGGTCCGTACTTGAAATCCCCTCCGATGGATTTTTGAGCCTTCCGATTCCCCCTCTTTATGATCTTGTTTAACATTTTGAGTCCCGTCTCTAAACCCTAGCTCTAGCTGTTTTGCCTAAGACACTACCATCTTAAACATTTCTCCGCGTATGGTGACATTTAGGAAGGAACAAAATATCTTCACATAACCAGAAGAGTCAAAAGCAGTGAGGAGACGCCGAGCCTGCGATGTGTGAATCGCTTACCTCAGAGCCGTTTGGTGGAGTGCAGAGAGATAATGGTCTGGCAAAAACTGGGTTATGAACACTAACCTCCAGTGGAGATATGTGCGGGCGGTGGTCAGTGGAGAGGTGGTTTCCGGCGATCAGCAGACTCGTGCAAATTGGTGACGATGATGAAAAATAAAGACCAAAGAGAGAGAGAGAGCGACGAACGTCGCACCCTGTCAGAGGTGAAATTGAAGGATATGTTACCGAAAACGCAGTCGTACGGCGCGCGAACATGCAAGTCCCAAATGAATATTATTATCTCCTTCCCATTTATATTGTCCCGGAAGAGGGTGACACGGCTATTAAGAAAAGTGGATTTGTGTGCTTGATATTAATCGATAAAGTAAGAATAAAGTAAGGATGATTTAAAGCCACACAAACTTTGCCAAATATGGTATGAGACAATTTAAGTGGGACTTATCGAAAAGGTAAAACGGGACAATATAAACGAGACGGAGGGAGTATTCCTGATGATGAATATAAGTAGGTAAATGTGCAAAAATTTACCTCTGGAATACTATAGGGGTGTGCAAAAATACTGGAAAATCGGTATACTGCACTTATCGTACCGAAAAATATCGGAAAATACCGGAGTATTGGTATACCGTTATTTTCGATATTGTACCGATTTATTTCGATACGGTAACAGTAAATGTTTTCAAATACTGCAGTATACCAGTATACCGTACCGACTCCATACCCAACAATTACTTTAAATTCTAAAATATTGTAAAAGTCCATCACAATTTTGAAGCCCAAAGTTAATAATTAGGTTGGTTACAAATCTGAATATACAAAAAGAAAGACCCAATTTCCCAAATCCACTATAATCTAGGATTCTACTACGTAGCATTCAAACAAACTAACCCTAATGAGCTAATGTCGAGAAACCACTCCATCTTGTTCCATGAGCTTGTGTGCCGCGATGGCTGAGCCGCTGAGTAGCTAACGAGTGAAGAAGGATACACTTAGTGTATCTACATAGGGAATCCGTGATTCGAGGCACACAACTTTGTCTGGAAGTCTATTTCAATTTTTTTTTTTAAATTATAAAAATGACTAAATACACAATATCATATTAGGGATAAATGATTTTGTATACATGTTGTTTGAGTAATTTTATTTATTGTTGTTAGAGATCACTATTCATTTAATTATATCTATATTGTTCAAGTTATTTTAGGAGAATGTGTTATTTTTTAATATGTGACATGTCGATAATAGATTAAATATGTCTCTAGTAACACCGATTTAGTATATTTTGTTAGTCCATGATAATATCTTGTATTGTGAAGCTCTTATTAAGTCGTATTCCCGCAACATCATTTATTGCATCGGAATAAGTCGTTTCCTCACCATTCCAAGAGTCATCCTCCTATTACATCGGAATAAGCGAGCCTGTGTTGGACTCATAGGATGTGAATGTTGTACACACACTTTTGAAATTTGCCAAAGTCCCGCATAATTTACATGCGCTCGTAGTTTAGCTCCAGACCCTATTTGTATTGAAGGTTGGGGCTTCAATTGATTTTTTGACTGACTACCTCTACAACCAGCCCGTGAACACTCTAGTACAACTGACACAATATGTGCTCCTCTTTTGTCTTTCGTTGTACTCCTAGTTCTTATAAGAAATCCCAATCACTTCCCATATGCTTTGTAAAAATCATACACCGCTTCTCTGCTTTCAAACTCCATACCAACTTCCAGATCTTTACCAAGTTGAGTTCCTTTGGCAGCCCTTCTCCATCTGTTTTAGTACATGGTTCATTTAGTCATGCTTTGAAACAAACTTAGAGTTACACACAAACAGTGATATATGCACACACAGACAATTCAAAACTTTCACTGACACTTTGAATATTACACAAACAAACAAGTCTTCCACTATCTACATACACAAACAAACACACACATAAACAAGTGACACCTCCTATAATTTGCATGTGTCACCAAACGTATGCATGCGTTCAAAACAACTTAGGGGTAAATACAGACAGTGATATATGCAAACACAAACAATTCAAAAGTTTCACAAACACGTTGAATACTACATAGGGGTACGCACAGACAATTCAAAAGTTTCACATTATGTATGCATGTTTGAAGAAACGTATGCATGACTTGAAACAAACTTAGGGGGTGCATCAACAGTGATATATGCAAACACAGACAATTCAAAACTTTAACAGACACCCACAAAACTACACAAACAAACTTATCCACCACTATTTACATACACAAACAATAAACCACATAAACAAGTTCCAACTATAAGAACATGCTTGTGAGAAGAAACGTATTTTCAAGTTCAATAAACTGCTAAAACCATGAGATGAAGTCCTATCGAGGTCAGAAACGAAGTCCACGGCCGCCGGTGACGTCTGTCCTTCATCTTCTCCGGCCAGGTCCATCTCACCGTCACCTTCTCCCACTCCAGCACTGTGTCCATCATCTTCTCCAACTCCGGCCTTCTGTCCGGAGCCTTCTCCGCCTCCGTCCGTCATCCTGTCACTTTGTCCACCTCCGGCCGTCTGTCCTTCGGTTTCTCCAACTCCGACATCGTTTCCAGTTTCTCTACCTCCGGGAATAACATTCAACAAAGCCCAAAACTCGTCCTCATTTGTCAGCATGGTGTCGTCCAAGTCATAATCCATGGAAGAGGAAGTAAAATCAGAAGTTTATTTGCTTTTGTGCTTAGGATAATCAAAGGAAGAAGAGAGGAGGCCCGAGAGTTTTGATTTTCGGGGGGGGGGGGGGGGGAGATAAAGCGGGTCTGTGGGGGAGTGAGGTAAGGGGAAAAGGGGGGGGGGGTAATTTTTTTGGGTTTAAGTAGTGTGTATAGGGTGGGTACTAATGTGGGTACAAAGAGCATTTTTGATTGGTTGGTTTAATATAAAATGCTTGACTTGGATAGATTTTGAACTCGTGACCTCTTTAAGAATGTCAGTGAATCACAAAATGCTTGATTGATTATAAGCACGTTAGAAATTGTCATAAGCATAGGCAAAATTAAAAAATATATAAAAAGGATGTCTTTAATTTCCTAAATATGACTTATTTAGTTTTATTAAAAAATAGTTCTATTACAATAATAAATTGATTAAAACTTCTCAAGATAGGAGTGTTTAATCCACATTATGATAACCTTGCTAATTGAATAGAATTTTGATATTTGAAATTAGTAATGTTTGATCTAGGTAATTAATAAAGTAATTAATAAGTAAGGACCTTACAACAAAAAATGGAATGCCAATTTTAATAACTGGACTTAATAACAATTTAAGTATAATTTAATTTCAATTGAGAATACATACTCTACTTTATTAGTACTGAAGTAGATGTGACATCATCGGCAACTAAATATTTGAGGCGGGCTTAATATCGATAGCTATATATTGAAAAGTAATAATAAATATTTTACATATGTTGTAAGAACCGGGCCGGTGAGTTTTGGTCCATGTTTTATGAGATTAACTAACATATGTTTTGGTACATATGGATGCACATATTCGAAAAAAGGATTGAGAGGAATTTCATTAGAATGATCTTGAATATTTCGAACAAATGAAACTCTCTCTCTCACTCAATATCGAAAACTTGCTATGCGGCTACTGTAGATGTGCGAAAAGTTAGACGTTGTACATCCTCAGAGCACATTTATTTGCGTAGGGTGTACAACCTTCCTAAAAAGGCCTAACCCAGGGATTTGGGCCTTATACATAAATGGCTCTCATCCTTAAATGTCTATTCTATTTATTACAAATAAATACCATAAATGGTAAAAAAAACAAGACTAATTTTAACATCTTGATCACAATAAAAATATCTTCAACAATCTCCCCCTTTGTGATCAAGTGCTGCCTTGCTTGTTTTTATTTCTGTTTCTTGTAGTAATTCTTCCTTAGTGCTAGAGCATGCTCGTATTGACAAAGAGATCGCCGTTTGTCAAGTTGTTCCTCGATAGCTCTTAGCACATTGGAGAGTCTGTCATATTCGTCCAATTCAGCTTTAGATGCATCGGCAAGTCTTCATTCGATTTCTTCTTTCAGCGGTTTCAGCTTATCCCTAATGATCTTCAAAGTCCCATCACAGTATTTGGTAGTCTCTTCAATCTTCATCGGGCACTTCTTTTCTTCATATCCATGATTCAAGTAGATTATCGCGACCGGCTTGTCAAAAATGTGGTAAGGTGAAAACTGTTCAAGCTCTGGTGCGTATATTATTGGCCTGGCGAGATTTGCCTTTGGGATATTATTATCCAGGCCCATTTGAAGATTATGTGATGCATGGACTCAGACTTGCCTTATCATGAACCTTTTGATTGCATCATAGCCTTCTTTTATCGCTCTACTGCTACTCATGGAGAGATTCCTGTAGGCCATGAACATGTGATAAATATCGTCCATTTTGAGCATAAAGAAGTCATACTCCTAACAGGTGAACTCTGTTCTGTTAGTGCGCCGTAGTTGGTAGATGTAGAGCTTTATTCTTGCGTGATCACCTTCACCCAAGTCTAAAGTGTTCCAGATGGGGGACGTGCTTGTCTGTAGATCGTGCTTCAGGATCTCACGTTGTTTGCTCATTGACCGGTGACTTAACATGTGAATATGTCCTCCGATTTGTCTTCCCTTCAGGTGGGTAAGACTTTGGGCTTTCAGTTCATCTAGTTTTTTGATCTTCTACGGTCTTCTCCATATATGCTTTCAGATTACCTCTTGGAAGGAGGCAGTTATTCAGATGTTTTCCCAAGGCTTCTCATTTTTAGGTGGCAGAGTTCATGTTCTTCTGAGCACCTTGGGTAGCTCAGCAGGAGCTTTATTATAGTTCTCCCCTTCTTTGATTTCATCTTCCTCAAGCCCAATTATTTCAGCATCACATTTCCTAAGCAAATCTCTAATAAAGAATCCTTTCTGCATCTCGTATTGCTCAGCCCCTTGTCTAAGGTCATGCCATTTGGTCTATTCGCGTCTCCAATTTCCATAAATGACATACTCTTTGAGTTGATCGTGGATTGATGGGACTTAAAGGTTAGAGGGAGCTTGCTGTTGATGTGGTGACTGGTTAGAAGTAACTCCGGGATCACTGGGATTGCCTATTATCATCAGATTCTAATAAGGTTCTGACTGATAGCTTGTAGAAACAGATGTACTAGAAGTAATAACCTCAGAACTTCCACTCCATCCTTGGTTA